AGGAAGCCCCAAATCGGGCACAGGTGTCATGAAGATTTGGGGTTGAACCTAATTCGGGGATTTGGCCCTGCATCATGTAACCAGGACACAGCGAGCCTGGGGGAATTTGTTCCAGGTAGACAAGGTCTATGTACTGTATATACTCATGTATAAATCTAGACATTTTAGTCAAAAAAATAGACCCCAAAAACCTGAGTTGACTTATCCACGGATCAATGTATGTACTGAGCTTTAACTCTTATATAAAAAAAGGAAACATCAGAGCATAATCTGCCCTGAAAGCACTGATTCCAGTCTGTTCTCTCATCCATCCGGCCTTTAGGATGAGCGCAAACAGTGATGCTGCTGGAATTTTGTAAATTCTTTGGCATTCTTTGCCATTGTTTCATCCTTTAATAGATCCTTGGTTACATGCCCCTAAGTTTGACCCTTGACTTATCCACGGGTCACATCAAAATCCATAATTTTGGCCCCAAAGCCTGCCCTCGACTTATACATGAGGTCGACTTATAGTCGAGTATATAGGGTATTTCGACAGCCCCTGCAGCTAAGATGCCTACCTTTTTTTCAAAATAGGAAAAGATGCTCTCCCTCAATCTCCTCCTTCCCTGTTTGAATGATATCTGTGAGCAACTCTGGTTGTACTTAATGCATAATACTTAATGATATTACCAAGGGCTGGGCTCAGGTTTTGGCCAGTAAACCTCGGGGTCTTGGAGAATCGGGAACTGGCAACCATACCCACTGGGTCCACTTGACTGAATCCTGATTCAAACCTTAGTCCCTTGGAGTCCTAGGGTGCATCTACACTACAGAATTAATACAGTTTGACGCTGCTTTAGCTGCTCTGGCTCAATGCGATGGAATTCTGGGATTTGTAGTTTCGTGGGATATTTTGCCTTCTCTGTCAGAGATCTCTGGTGCCACAGCACAGGATTCCATTAAAGCAATGTCGAACTGCATTAATTCTGCAGTGTAGCATTAGCTTCAGTCCAGCACTCAAGCCACTACACCATGCTGGGTCTATAACATTCTTATTGCTGTGTGCCTTCAAGTCATTTCTGACGAATGGCGACCCTAAGGCAACCCATCATAGGGTTTTCTTGGCCTGATTTATTGAGAATAGGTTTGACATTCTGAGGCTGAGAGACCGTGACTTGCCCAAGGCCACCCAGGGTTTTTACATGGCTGTGCCAGGATTCGAACCCTGCTCTCCAGAGTCTTAGTCCAATGCTCAAACCCATGTACCACGCTGGCTTTCACGTTCCAGCCTGTTTAAACCGTCTTTCACTCATATCATGTAGCAGTCAGAAATTGCGTAGGTGTTTTTCCACAGTGCAGCCAGTCATTTTGCAAGCGCATAGAAAAACTTATCTCTCATTTTTGGATCTGGTGGGTGGTGAGCTCATTCTCCAGGGCACAATGGGTGTGCTCAAGGCCATGGTGTTTGTTGCACAATCGGCTCTGTCACCGTTGCATCCGGCGTCATTATGCTGGCATACCTTGATGGCCGGGGGAAAGATGATAACACTTCAAAAAGTGGAACGCAGCAGGAAAAAAGGTGGATTATAGGTGGATAGACTCCATCCATCAAGGAAGCCACAGTCTTGAGTCTGCAAGACCTGAGCAGGGATATTATTAACAGGGGGACCTGGAGGTCTCTCGTTCCTTGTTATTCTTTTTGTTGTCGTGTGCCTTCAAGTGCTTTCTGACTTACGGAGACCCTAAGGCAAACCTATCACTGGATGTTTCTGGGGCTGAGAGTGTGTGACTCACCCAAGGTCACCCAGTGGGTTTCAATGTCCGAGCAAGGAATCGAACCCTGATCTCCAGAGCCTTAGTCCAGCGCTCAAACCACTGCACTGTGCTGGCTCTCCTCTCGTTCCTAGGTTTGTCATATGTTGAAGCCAAATTTATTGCACATAACAACTGCAAATATTTATTCTACGCGAAATGCGTCTACGATTGTGGCTACAGTGTGTGTATTTGTTTTTGCTTTTAAAAGACAAGTGTGTTGTATGGTGGTTTGGATCCTGGTTCTGGAAAGAAAGGCATAAAAGTAATCTAGTTAATTAGAATACATAGTAGACTATGTATTCTAAGCAGTCTGATGAATGGAGGAAGGAAGCTATTAGTTGGGGACGAGTCCCTGTTAATAGTAATTCCATATATATATATATATATATATATATATATATATATATATATATATATATATATATATATATATATATATATATATGGAATTAGGAATTATATGGGTTGAGTCTTCCTTATCTGGGATGCCGAAAACTGAAATATTCCAAAATCCAAAGTTATCTGCCTGGGTGGCTGAGATAGTGACACCTTTGCTTTCTGATGGTTCAGTGGAGACAAACTTTGTTTCGTGCACGAAATTATTGAAAATATTGTGTGTAAAATGACCTGCAGGCTATGTGTAGAAGGTATATATGAAATGTAAATGAATTCCATGTTTAGACTTGGGTCTCATCTCAGAGATATTTCATTATGAAGATGCAACTATTCCAAAACCCGAAAAACTCCAAAATCCAAAACACTTCTTGTCCCAAACATTTTGGATAAGGGAGGCCCATCCTATATAATTTTACTTGCATTTCTTTTTATCTTGTGAACCATCTTGAGTCCCAACTTGGGGTGGAAGACGGGTTATAAATAAAGTGATCGATGGATGGATAGATGAGCGAGAGACATCACCGCCTTCCTTGATCCAGGTCCAGCATCCTACCCAACCTTTTTGGAAAGAAACAAGAGAGTTTGATCTGGTAAGAAAAAATAAGATTGGTACAATTTGAAATGATTGGTACAATTCAGCTATTTATTGTAGCTTAATACTTGCTTGCCCTCTAGTGGATGTCAGAATTACGGTCCATTTTAAAAATGGCAACGGCTGCATCCGCACTGCAGAAATAATCCAGGTTGACACCACTTAGAATCATAGAATCATAGAGTTGGAAGAGACCACAAGAGCCATCCAGTCCAACCCCCCTGCCATGCAGGAACTCCCAATCAAAGCATCCCCGACAGATAGCCATCCAGCCTCTAACTTCTAATGCCACAACTCAATGCTATGGAGTTCTGGGAATTGTAGTTTTGCGAAACATTTAGCCTTCTTGGTCAGACAGCTCTGGTGCCACAAATCTGTATTCTGTGGCATTGAGCCATGGCCATTAAAGTGGTGTCAACCTGGATTATTTCAACATTGCAGATGCAGCCAGCATCTAGCTTTTGAGCAGCCTTGTTGTTCTCAGGTCTTGAAAAAGTTCCTTTCCTGGACTGCAACTCTTAGGCTAGCTGAGGAAATCTGGGAGGCTAGGGGATTCTGGGAGCTGTAGTCCAAAAAAAGGGTCACCTTTCCCAAGTTCTGAACATTTCACAGAGCAAGTTGAGTTTTTGAGGAGTTCTGTTCCCAGGGGGTTGGGCTCATGCATGCTTTTTCGTGCAACCTCTATTTCCTCCACGAACTTTCAGATTTTATTTTAGGGGGGAAAGAAACGCAACTCGCTTGTCCATACTTGCAAGGCATCCGCTTTGGCTTTGATGTTTCCATTCAATGTACAAGAAAGAGGGCAATTTCTGGGTCGTATTACACACAGATGTGGAAAAACCTGAAAGGGTTTAATTTGATGATAGAGAAGGGTTTGGGGTTTCTTTGTGCCTCCGGCTTGGAAACTCCTGAAATTTCTCCATCTGCTTGAGGCCCTTCATATTGCAATTTGATGCAGCGAGATAAGGACAAGGCAATCCGCTGCAAATGGATTTAGAATAAAGGTAACAATCCCTGGTTTGAACCCTCAGAGTCTTGAAATGTCCTTCTCTCACAAGGATTGTTTTAAAAATCATTTTTAAAAAATTCAGTTCACCCTGTCTCAGGCTGCATCTGCACTGCAAACACGAAGCAGACTGACACCAGTTTAACTGCTATAGATTAATGCTATGGAATTCTGGGATCTGTAGTTTGGTGAGGCCCCAGAGCGCTCTGACAGGCCAAGCTGAATACATCACCAAACTACAGATCCCATGATTCTGTAGGACTAGGGGGTGCATCAACACTGCAGAATTAATGCATGCAATGTGACTTGCCTAAAGTCACTCAGTTGGTTTCCATGGCTGAGTGGGGATTCGAACCTTGGTCTCCAGAGTTGTAGTTCAATACTCAAACCACTACACCATGCAGGCTCTCTGGTTTGCAAAGTAGGGAGGAATATTTAGAATTATGAGCGCCTGTGTGGTGTAGCGGTTTGAGGGTTGCACTACAACTCTGGAGACCAGGGTTCGAATCCCCACTCAGCCATGGAATGAATCCCACTGGGTGACTTTAGTCAAGTCACATAGTATGCATTCATTCTGCAGTTTCACCCAAGTCACACTCTCTCAGCTTCAGAGGGAGGCACTGGCAAATCCACTTTGAACAAATCATGCAAATAAAACCTGTCATAGGATTGCCGTTGGGTTGCCATAAGTCAGAAGTGACTTGAAGGTACATAACGTTAACAACGTAGAATCCTTGCCCAGAGAACATTAATCTCTTCCCAAACTACTGATCCCAGGATTCCATATGATGTTGCCATGGCAGTTAAAGTGGAATCGTAGCGCAATAATTGCATGGCATGAAAGGGTCTTTCGATTGCCCATCCACATCTCAGAGGTTCAGAAGAGGAGGAAGAAGAGGAAGAGAATTATTATCATCATCATCATCATCATCATCATCATCATCATCATCATTTTGCTGTGTATCTTCAGGTTGTTTCTGATTTATAGTAACCCTAAGGTGAGACTGTCATGGGGTTTTCTTGGCAAGATTTGTTCAGCAGTTTGCCATTGCCTTCCTCTGAGGTTGAGAGAGTGTGACTTGCCCAAGGTTACTCAGTGGATTTCACGGCCGAACTGGGAATTGTACCCTGGTCTCCAAAGTCATTGTCCAACTCTCAAAATATTATGCTATTTTGGCTTTTGTGGAGAATTATTACCATTATAGATTTTACCATCTATCAGCTTGTTACTAATTTTTTGGGGGGGGTTGGGGCTATCAATTATTCAGATTCTATCCAAGAATTTAGGAACCCATGAGGTATGACGGATATAGTGTGGTGCATCCCAAGCAGTGTCACCTTTTTTGGGGTAACTGTGCTATTCCGATTCTTACGATGGGCAATAATTCAGAAGTTTTGTCCATCTGGAATTGCTCACAGAGCACCTTTCATGGCTGAAACCAGAGTTGTTTCCCTTTCCAAGTGGTGAGTCTTGCTTTGTAGGTCTCAGCATTTTCTAATATTTTCCTTCTCTTTGGGACTGATCAGACGGTGTAAATAATCCCGGTTCAACATGGGTTGGATCTGGTTTATTCACATGAATTTTTGTAAAAAAATAATAATTCTTTATTTCTTATTCCAACATTAAAAATCATCAACTATCAACAATAACAAAACTATGCTATTCATATATTCTACCCCTTATATCCTTTTCTTCCAATTTTTAACTTCAGCAAACATCATAAAATGTTATCATTCATAAATTAAAAACCTTTCTTGCCAAGGTTAGCTGTTGGTTGTTTTTGTACTTTATAATTCTCGATTTTGAACTCTCTTGAATTTTGAATACCTCTGATTAATTTTTTTTGGGGGGGGGACTTCCAAAAACCCCACAAAATTCGGGATAATTGATTGTAAGGTTTCCCCCAAAACACTTTTCCTTAAAGATTCACATTGTTGGCTGTGTGAATAACTGATGTGGATAGACCCAAAATAAACCAGGATTAAAACCTGGCATATTTTGAATGTGTTTCAAATACATCTGTACTATTGACTCCATCTATTTCCAACAGAGCAACAGAACTCGCAGAGATGCACAGAGATGCTATTTTAATTTTTGTATATTTTCATGTGAATTTATAATGTTTTTATAGGATTTTAACTGTTTGAAATTTTATTGTCATGGTTTTTTTTTTCTCTGGGAGTCCTTTCCCAGTCCCTTTTGGGTCTTTTCTGGGAGCATACAAATGAAATAAATAAATAGATAAATAATAAAAATCCGATTAAAAAATAATAGCGGGAACAACAAATCGGGAATGCATGAACGAGATTATTCGCATAGTCGTGTTGCAAAACAAAACGTGTAGGTAACCTTCTTGGTCTTCGATCTTGTTGTTAGGATTAGGATTGCGATTATGAATACTATTGAGCATAAGATGTTTTGGGAAGGTTTTGGCACAGGTTTGGGAGGGCTGGACAGGTAAGCAGCGGGTTCGGTTTGTGGTTGAATATTTCAGAAAATTTTGCAGCTGCAAGGCTATTCCCAGACAAGAGGCTTCGACATACCTCCCCCTTTTGCAAAGACACACACCTTGGCATGCAAACAGCTCTTTTACTGTAAGGTCTTCCAAAAGAGATTTCTAGTGGAAAATATGTCAGGCCGCACCTCTCCGGGACTCAGAGCTCGGGTCCTGATGGCGTCCAAACCAAACAAAGGGTTCACAGATGGAATTGGTTATGGGGAAAGGAGGGGAAGCCACCACTGCCGTTGCCTCCCCGTTTCAGGAAGAGGCCAGCTTCATAGGGAAAGGTGGAACAACAACTGCGCCTGGAAACAATTATTAGGAGAGCTTAGCAATGAGAAGGAAGCAGGCTGTTTCTGAAAGTCTCCCCCCCCATCTTTCCTTTGGATGAATGTCAAATCCTCATTTCTGTGCAGGTTTGAGCAACTCCTGTTGAACTGGTTGTGAGAGGAATCTTCTCCAGATCTTCTCCAAATGATGTCTGGGGACGACAGCTCCCTGGCTGGGGGATTCTGGGTGTTGTCATCCCCAGAAGTCCCTTTCCTGTGCACTAAGTTTCAAAGAGAAGGTGAAGCATCAT